AGCCATTTGTAAAAAAATTCATTCGTTTGCTCATTCGGTAGAAAAGTACGTCTTCTTCTAATTTGATACTCGAAGGAGGGACATGATTCGGTTCTAAAAGTGTCTAATTGTGAGGCTTTTTAATACCGCGAAATGGCCGTTCATAAATCGTCATGCAAAGTTAACAATATGACTCAAATCCATTGCTAAATTTTATGAACCCCATATGGTCTCCTCTAAATACCATAAAGAAATGTATGACTTTCAGACCGCGGAATATCTACGGCTTTTAGTTTGGGAACCCTGAATCCAAGTATAACAGTAGAGCGTTTCAAAATTATTTAGGAATTGAAAAAGTTTTTGAAAACCGAATTGTACCCTTCCTTCGAGTATAAGATTGGAAGAATAGGTAATTATCTACCGAATAAGCGAAAGAATGAATATTTTTATGAATGTTTTGCATGAAATATAGGTGAATTTTAAGGACATCGAAAATCAATGTGAATGCATACATGCTATTTAAGTAGTCATTTCTTACAGAGTATAGCTCTCGCATGCAGCCGAAATGAAGTTCATTGGAAAGCCGGCATCCTGAGGTAACTTAAATATTATAGAATTATGTTGCAGGCTGATTAGTTTTACAATCCTACTTAATTAATGATTTCGAAACGAAAACGAATTTCGGAATTTCGGTTGATATTTCATGAGCTAGCCCACCTACTGTAAGTACATATGAAGTGGTAAAAGGTTGTTTAAAATTCGAAATTTGTGTATCACGAATGGAGCTGGGGAAAAAAAGGTCTGACCACGTCTGCACTCATGGTTCAGTCAAAGACGGTAAGGGGAAAAAGGAGAAAAAATAAACTTTAACTAGGTCTTACAGGTGCATTTCGGCGCCCAATTGCCGGTTATCGCAGTTGTGTTTACAGGTCTCAGCAGACGGTGTCAGGCCACAGCGCAGCCACAATTCTAGCGGTCTAGGTGTCCTACGCCAGGGACCTCCACTGAGCGAACAGCCCATTCATTGGGAACGATATATGCAAAGAAGAGATAGCTTGTATCGGCAATGAGTGCGTGGTCTGTGCGCTAACGTCACC